GTCTCTTAATACTCTGCTTAGCTTTTGGAATGCATCTTTGATCATCCCAATACGTCTTCGGATCTCAGTGTCCCACTTTGCGTTCTCTGTTAGGACACTTCCTAGATATTTAAAGATTTGTACTTGTTCGATTTTAGTATCTCCGATTCGTAATTTGCATTTTGAGATCATTCTTTTGTTGATAACCACGCATTCTGTTAGTAGTACGCTTAAATTCATGCGGTCGCGGTACCACGGAGGAAAGTAACATTTATTTTGATATAATATAAAAATGTGGCACAAGGCCAAAAGTGGAGTATAGTATCTTAAACCTAGCTTGCCGCAATCACTGACCCAAACATATCACAGTAATCCTTACACCAAAACAATACATTCTCATTTACCATTCTTACTTACAGATGGAGCATTTCCCCATTATGCTTTGGTAGTAAGTGGCTACCTTAACCAAACCATTCCACAGTTCGGAAGAAGAGGCCGCATCGAATGGCCACCACTTTAACCTGACCTAACACCAATGGATTTCCTTTTTTGTGGGCGTATTAAAGAACAAGGTTTATAAGAGAAATCCCGACGCAGTGAACGAATTAAAAGGGGACATCTCAGAAGTATTTATTGATATTGATGCAGATCTGGATTTGTGTCGTGCTGTGTGTCATCGTAATACCCCAAAGTCTCTTTGTAGTCCTAACTAGTTCCCGTATGTATAATTTGTCTGTGGGAGATGGGGGAATAAAAACAACATTTAAAAATGAAATCTCAATGAATATTTATAATGAATACAATTTACCAAGAATGAAAGTTTATTAGAACAATTGCCATGAAAATACTATTTATCGAAAAGGCGGACTAAGACTCGTGAGGTTATGTCATGGAGTATTTTCCTACAAATTAAGTTGGTAGAAAAAAAAAAACCCAAAAAACAAAGACAGTGCTATGTCTGGATAATCCTCGAAGAGAAAAGAGGCAAAAATAGTGATAGTTTCACGCAAAGAATGCACAACTCCATTGCACATGTTCAATGAAGTAATGTACCGTGGAAAATTTGTTTTATTGCTCTTTCTCCTTTACTTGTATCATAAAAAAAGAATTAAAACATTTAAAAAAAAATAGTTCTCATACAGAATTAAATCGAAAATAACTTTAAAAAAAACTACTCTTTAAAAATAATTTTTCCGCTTTTTTTCCGGCAGTGCAAGCTTTTGAAGGATTAAATTGTTCTTGGCGTTTTTCTGCTATAAAATCTTTGCATGTAAACAAATGATCGTAATTGATATAAGATAAAAAGAACAAATTTGCTATTTGATTATACGCCGTTCTGTGAACTTGTGGTGTTTTCTACCTCCTAGCTTTTCAAACCAACGTCTTTACCTAATCAGCCACAGCCTTCGCCCGTCGACCAAATACCAGTAAAACTAATTTAAAATTCTTTATTATCACACGCTCCATTCTTAACAGAAGCTATTCTCCTGAATTGTACGTTTAAGGGATGAAGTGTTTAAGTCCCGCAGGCGACTCGTTCACAACTGTGGGTCTTTTTTAGTTATCTGACAAAAGAAGTCTATTCGTTTCCATCTTAAAACCGCCCTGATTGTGGGTTGCATTATGGTTTACTTCGAGAAGCTTCTGTAATGGAGGTTCTCGATTTAAAGTATCGTTGTTGTTGTTTACATATTTATTTATTGCAAAAGACAAGTATTTCCCTCTTCTCACCCAAGTTCTTAGTCAGGAGACATGGGCAAAACACTTACTCCAAGGTGGCTAATACAAAGGGTTCTTAATAATTGGGGTGGTCGGAATTTTTCGCAATAAACGAAGACGGTCTTAATAAAAGAGGCTAGGAAATCATTTAAATGGTCAAAAAGTACGAAATTAATAAACGAGACAGTCGTAATAAGATCGAGGTGGGGCGGAAAATTTCCTTAAAAAAACACCCCCCCCTCTACATTTATTAGGTACTGAATAATAGTTGTCTGGGTAAGTCGGAAGGTCACAGAAAAGACAGTGAAAATACGGTCATGATTTTATAATGCAGACAACAAAAAGTAAATATATTTCTTGTTTATACGTTATTTTATTTACAATGTATTTAATTAAATGCTCTGATTTTTTTTTTAAATAGACCATATTAATTACATTTACCGGCATTTAGTTTCGATTCCTGTCGGGGAAGGAAATATTATCTACGGAATTTCTCGACCATTCAGGCCAGTAAATATAATTAATACTGCATATTAAAAAAACATAAAAAAAACAAAAAAAAAAAAAAACAGAGCATTTACTTAAATAAATTGTATCTATAAAAATAAGGTATAAACATAAAATATATTAAATAATTGCCGGACTTAATCCATTTCATAATGTTGTCAATATTTACGTTAAGATACGTTTCTTGAGAAGATATGATCGTTCGGGAAAGATCGCCGAAGATTTGTGGTTTATAAACAGTAATTCAGACTTTGCTAACCAGACGCTTTTTTGTGGCTGAATGGTTGACTCAAATGAGGGTCCCCTTTGGCATTACAGGTTCAATTCCTGCTGGGGAAGCTCATGTTTTCTACGGATTTTCTTGAATATTCAGGCCGGTAAATGTAATTAATACTGCTTATTAAAAAAAAACCAAAATCTATAAATAACAACGTTAAACATAAAAATGTCTTTAATAAATAAATTGTCGGACCTTGTCCATTTCTTAACATATATATATATATATATTACTTAAAAAGATATTTTAAGTGGACACCCGTATTTGAGCTGACGCCACATTTTTTAAACAGTGTATATTACATCTACCGGCCTGTACGACTGTGAATTTCGTGCACGACGCAATCTTTGGGTGCAGAGTTCAAAATGACTGTATTACGGTTGAGGTATATTTATTAATATATGTATTTGCCCTCTTACATTGCATTGAAGAATGTTTCGTTAACACCTACCTGCACTGTATGTATGATATGTTGTAATCTTATTGCCATATCTCTCTCTCTCTCTCTCTCACACGCATAAGCCTCCCACATAATGGTAAACAGTAGAAATGGTCGTTTCATCTAGGTAATATCTTACCAATGTGGGAGGTATTTCTGTCGTCCCACCCTGTATATATTAATTCAAATGTTATTTTTTGTGGACACCCGTATTTGAGTAAACGCCCCGTTTTTTAAACAGTGTATATTATATCTACTGACATGAACACTCAAGAAAACGAAATAAAGAAAATGTGCTCTCCGGTTGTTCATCCTTGTAGAGATGAAGCTTTTTTCATCCGTTTCAAATATATATATATATATATATATATATATATATATATATATATATATATATATATATATATAATATATATATATTTTAAAGAAAAGACAACTTTAAGGTTCCATTATAATAATTTATTTCACCAGAGCCCTTTTAAAGGACGCTGGATCATCAGATAGTACTTCCAAAAAATGAAGGAAAATGAAAATTATAATGGAGCCTTAAAGTGGTCCGTTTTTCTTTAAAATATTAGCTTTGGGTTTACATTGAGCTCTCAGGATTTCAACCTCCTTGGGACTACTAATACGGATTACTAAGTTTTTATAACTTTATATATATATATATATATATATATATATATATATATATATATATATATATATATATATATAAAGGTGGGTCAAAAGTAGGCTTACAGTTGTTTCACTATTTGTTTCATGTCACAGCTCAGAACCAGAGATAAATTCACTGAGCTGTTTTTTTCAGTAAAATGGAGCATTTCCCCATTATGCTTTGGTAGTAAGCGGCTACCTTAACCAAACCATTCCACAGCGGTGATTCGAAAGAAGAGGCAGCATCGAATGGCCACCACTTTAACCTGACCTAACACCAATGGATTTTCTTTTTTTGTGGGGTGTATTAAAGATCAAGGTTTATAAGAGAAATCCCGACACAGTGAACGAATCAGAAGGGTACATCTCAGAAGTATTTATTGAAATTGATGCAGGTCGGGATTTAGTCGTGTTGTGTGTCATCGTGTTCTGGAAAAGTTCGAGGGAATGTTGCAATGTTGAAGGGAGTATGTTTAGGTTAAAAATCACACTGACGAAATCTGTCAGGCCATATTTTGACCGTCCAAATAGCTGAGCCCGATCCAAATAAACTTTTGAATGTTTTGTCGAGGTCCGACGTTTGCTTTTTTCTGAAATTAAGGGCGATATGGCGCGAAATGCAAACATTTCATCCTCCATCTTTAAGGCATTCATTTGAGGACAAAACGTCAATATTCAACAAAGTCTGACTCTCAATTGAACGATGCAAGGTTTAGAACACACCAGAAATCGACACTAAAACAAACACAAGTGTCAAGTTGCAGTCATTTTATATTGGCAATTGCTGGTATTATGAATTTAATCCTCATTAGTTTACCAACTCATGTGACCTTGTGCCAGACTCAGTTAAAAGTTTATGAGATGGAACAAAATTCAGTACATGGTTAAGTTTTATAGAAACATTTAAGCCACGACGCTTGTTGCAGCAAGCCAACTCCAACACAAGACTAGATTAATAGAACACTTCATGAACAATACAACTCACTTGCAAGGGCTAGCGAGATATTTCTTGATATAAGCCAATGCCAAAACAAACTCAGGTTAATAAACCACTTAGTAAAATAGTACGGACAACTCATTAACAATAGCTAGCGAGATAGATTTTGCTAGGTACCAATTCCAGAACAAGCTCACATTAGTAGCAATTTAATTTTCTGAAGATAGAAATATACTTTTAGAAGAGAAAAAAAAATTACTATTTTTTGCTTTTTCAACTTTGTAAAGAATTCCAAAGTGGCCTTCAAATTTACCAAACAGTACCATTGCGATTAAAGTTATTTGCTGACGAAAATAATTCCTACAAAGATGTGAAAATATGCAGTTTGTATTTTACCGTTTGTTAATGTGTGGATATTTTCGTAGTTCAGACCTTTACAATTAACCATCGCTTAATTGGCGACGTGGAAACGTCTGTTGTTCAAG